GACCACCATTAAAAACCAGGAAGCATTGAACGGCTGTTTCGTCCTAGTATAAGACACCCCAACAAAGGGAATCGAACGCAAGAACTTTGGTCGCGCGTGAACGCCTAACCTCTAGATCACTGGGTTGGAATTTCACTGTGTTAATGTCTAACTTAAATCAGATCACGATTGGTTCATGATCTCGGTAAAATCTCAACAATCTTCATTATCCACTGTGGATTAACTATAATTTATGCCGGTAAAGAAGTGGTCTTTCAAGTGAAACCTCTAAATTTCATTTGTTAATGAGTGATTTACGAAACTTGTATCATAAAATCGTATGCTCAATTTGCAACAACGTTTAATTCAAAGATTAATCTTTTGGTATATCAGTATCATTTCATTACAAAGACCTGAACCTTTATACGGACTGCTTTTTATGTATATTAATATACTTTAATGTGGTTGACAGGCATTGTGTAGCAGTCACAATGTTTATTTAGTACCATGACTATAGTTATGAATTGTTAAACAGTTCTTTTCTTCCTTGTTTTTGATTTTTATGGACGTATTGGAAGCGAATTATAGATTTCCATGGGAAGAGAGTAAACGTCCGAAACGGAAACATTGAAATCAACTCACAGAGGACATTGGTGAATGGTTGCTCAATTCCGTGGATTGGTTGAAGTTAAACATCAACACTGTTGGATGCCGGCTCAGTGGTCTTCTGGTTAAGCGCTCGCGCTGATACGTCCTGTGTTCGAATCTCGTGGGGCGGGATCGTGGATGCTCACTGCTGGTGAGTCCCAAAATAGGACGAAACGATCGTTCATTGCTTCCTGGTTTTCTATGGTGGTCTAGCTTTAATTGACTATTGATCTCAACTATATAAGATTACTAAAATCTCCACAAAACTCCCTTCTGTCAATGAAATTTGTTAAGTAATTTGAAATTTTGTAGCTGTTACCTTAACTGTGTTCGATAAGCCTAAAACTGTTAATAGATTGTTTCATATGTTGGGTATCTTTGACTTTGATGAAGTGATGAAAAGAGCTATGAATTAGGTTGAACTTTACTGTAGCAAATGTTTTTGCAAGACTTTCGTTTCTTGTTATGTCTTATGACCCTGTCAAATAATACGTGACAAGATCACTAATCAGAACACCGCCTTTTATGAATGTCCCTATAATAAACCAATGATGCGTTAGCCAGCACTAGCAGCCTTACGCCAACTCTGGATCCTTACTGGTCCTCCGTATAGTAATTTATTGCATAACTCAGCCTGTTCACTCCAGGACACAAATGTTAACGTCCACTGTATGAATCGTATATTTCGTACGTATGTGGTTTATATACAGGCAGATCAGACCACATTACACCATAAAATTAAAATAAAAGTTAAATATACAAGATCAAGCCAAAAACTGGGTATGAATGTGATAGACCGTAGCTAGTAAATTGGGTATAAATTGAGAATGGTAACTCACATAACAGTAGCCGATGGAGATCAAACGAAAACTTATGATAAAAGGAATATGAATATACATACTTATATGATCTAGTTATTTCATAATTATCCAATGAGAATATAATATAGTAATAATCCATAAATAAGTCTCAGCAGTTACCATTCACCGAACTGTTGTTAATGTTTTATATATCGACATCAAAATAAGCATAACTCCGCCTGTAGCTCTTCTAGAGTTACTGCCGGTCCGAAGCCCAGGTAAAAGGGAGGGTTGGGCATGGGGTTGGCGACCACCTACCGTAGAAAAGCTAAGTCGCTAAAAAACGCTAACCAGAAACAATCATTTAAACTCTGCCCTAAGAGTTAGAAGGTCTTCATTTAAACGACTTATGACATTTCATAATGAAAACTCAGTTCCAGCTTTTATTTGATTAAAAAATAAAACAACATTGTCAAAGATACACTAAAAGGAAAGTATCCGTTCATAGAATGAGTATAATGAATGATATTACTAAGTGTACATGTGTGTATGTGTGTGTGTGTGTGTGGGTAAGTAACTAAGTAAGTAAATAAGTATTTCTACATAGAGACAAAATGAACAAAACAATCCATATCTCTCTATATATAATGAATAAACATATATATTTTTGTTACCAATTATCAATAATATTAATATAATGATTGAAAAATAAATAAAAAAGAAAAGAACAATCCACAATCACATAACATAACCCATTCATTGGATGGTTTTCTTGTATTAAAAAAATGCAGAAAACAAAAAATTAAAAAAAAAGAAGAAAACGGGGTGGGGGAGAGAACCATGTTTGCAAAGCATTTAAGTACAACAATAATCAAATGATTACGAAATTTTTAAAATGATAATATTGACCAGAAAAATAATTCAATCAATTATGTTTTATCACTAAGGGTGCTTCTTTTTCTTCTTTTTAAGTTCTCTTTTTTCTCTTTTCTTTTTTTCTTTTTTTCTTTTCTGTACACAGTTTAAAACAAAACTCAATAGATTCAATTGTAAATGTTGATTACATAACAAACAAACAACCAAACAGTCCAATCCCAAAAAAGGATTCATTTAATGATGAATCTAATATGATAATTCAAATCTTAATTCATCTTGAATAATTTCCCATAAATCTTGATCTACTTTAATGGTCACATGGCCACACGTGTACAACCAATGCCAGGTAAGTCCTATTTACTGACTTCTCGAGGCAAGAGTGTTAGTCACGACAATGAAAGGACGAAAAACAAATGTCCGACTCTCTAACCGGGTCGGTGGATATACAGGATCTACCTAAGGGGTGTTGAAACCCCTAATTCCCAATCAATGATGTACATGAGATCCAAGATCCTGAGTGAACAAAAGGCGTGTAAACTAATTGATAGTTACAGGCTACCATGGGACTGCATCTCTTAACGCTATTCCACTACCTTGTGGGTCAGACATTTAGGTCAAACGCTTGGGGAGTAGCTCTTTAAGAAAATCACCTTTTTCGGCCTGGGCACCTGGGCATTGTCACAACTCTTACACAAATTGAATGATTTATGTGGCTCATATGTATTCGGAGAACATTGTTGATGAATAGCCTTATCAGTGAAATACAAAAAATATCATTCTGTGGTGCTGCGTTATTTTCAAAATTCTTTCCGAGTTGACTACAATCAGTGATATAATACACTACCGTCAAATTATACAAACATCTTAACTAAACGTAATATATACTAGTGAGATTGAAGAGATCTAATAAATATCTTTGATGACTGATATCAAGTAAAAATATTGCAAGCCATGTTGATAATGATAAGGTAAGAAAACCACTCAAGAGCCATTTTCATAATTAATGGATTGTGGCTGGGCAGTGAAATCCAGGACTTACGTTCCAATCTCACCCTGAATATATATCTGTATCTTCGAGTAATCAAAATTCATTTCTAAATATCAACAATGGGATTATTCAAACACTTAATAATGAAGAGGACAGTTCCACTTTGTATTTCGAATGACCATCAAGGAAAACCTGAGAGCACTGTTGAATGCCGGCTCACTGGTATAGAGGTTAAGCGCTCACACGAGAGACTGATAGATCCTGTTGTCGAATCTCGCTAGGTGGGATCGTGGATTCGCACTTCTGATGAGTCCCACAATAAGACGAAACGACCTTCCAGTGCTTCCAGGTTTTTCATGGTGGTGGTGTATATTTCACACTGATTTATAATTGATTCCCAGTAATATTTAATAGGGATTAAAGAAACTGCAATCACTTTAGAATGATTTGAATGAAAATCTTAAATTATAAATCATATCATCACTTTATACCATAGTAACTAAGCCGTTCAGTTCGTTAATGAAGAGCTCTTCAATTCACTGTCTGGTTACCATTAATGATGATTATATTAGCGTTTTTGTTGTTTTCTCATGTCAATCATCTTAACATTGATAGTTGGTAACTTTATGTTAACAATGTATCAGTTAGTAGGATATACATTTATATATTAACAATCTATTACTTTACTTTCATTGATTCATTTACTTTAATGGCAGTAGTAGTAGTAGTACTAGTAGTAGTAATAGTAATAGTAGTAGTAATACAAGAAAGTGAAAACTAGTTGTGTTTTCTTTTAACATTATATGCTATTTAATCTGGAGTATACTTCCGGTCAACTTCAAGTACTTCTTGGAAGAAAAGTACATTTGATTCTTTATTTGTTAAATATAACTATTTTGAGATTGTATTCTCCATAGACTGACCTTAATTAGTGTAGTAATGGAGATGGAAGCTCACTAGAAAAATCTTTCATCCAACTGTTAAACTCTTTAGCAATGCTTGATCATAACTAATTTAGGACTCAAACCCAAGAATCTCTAGTCTGTCGAAGAATACTCACCCATTAGAAATGCTGGGTCGATAAACCCTGGTATAATTCTATCCTTCATCGATTTGTGAAACAAGATGATGATCACGATCCTTTATACAATTTGAAGCCAGACCACCATGGAAAACCTGGATGCACTGTTGGATGCCGGCTCAGTGGTCTAGAGATTAAGCGCTCACCAGCGAAACTGATAGGTCCAGGGTTCGAATCTCATTAGGTGGGGTCGTGGTTGCGTACTACTGAGGAGTCTCACAATGAGACGAAACAACCGTCCACTGCCTTTAGGTTTTCCATGGTGGTCTAGCTTCAATTGACTTATGATCTCAACTATTAAAACAATTACCATTCACAATATTTTTGAAGGTTCTAAAGTATTGAGATCACTTTTGGATTTGTTCCATTGTATTTCACATGATACCAGTTATAGTCGTAATTCTTAAATGAAACTAAGAAAAATGTATCAACCAACCTTTTGAGTGAATCCTTAAAACATGGAATGGTGATTAAATACTATCTACCATTAATCCTTGATAAATTTTACAATATGGAAAGTTTTCATAGTGAAATGTTCAGTTTGATGAGTCAACCTACATTGGTGAACAACTGGTTTTCAATATGTAACCTTCAATAAGTTTCAGTTTTTATTCCCAACTAACATATACAAAATATTTATAGTTGAATTCAGGTGTTGATATAAGCTAGACCAACAACTGAAAATTGGAAGCATTGTTTTAAGGCTGTTTCCTTCTAGTATGGTACTGCTCAGCAGTGCACATCCATCATCCCACACCAAAGGGATTCGAACTCAGGACATTCGATCTCAAGCACGAACTCTTAACATTTTAACCACTGAGTCGACATCAATCGATGTTAATCTCTAACTTCAATCAATCCATAATCTTTCACAATCCTTCATCAATCGTCTGAAGTCAATAACTATCTTACTACAATCTCCACAAATTCCCATCCACATAATACTAATTATGTGCTCATTCGTAACTCATTTCAAGATGTAACTTTTACAGAATTCATGACAACTAGAGTTCAACTTATATTGAATATGTAAGACAGTTAATTCAATGAATCATTTCAATGACTGACGTTTTATTCTTCTTCTTCTTCTTTGATTACATAACTTACTTGTGATAATACAAACCAATTTAAAAATTCAATTCCATGGCTTCAGTAACACGTTGTCTAAGAAATTGTGTTGTATTCATTATAGATTGTTGATCATTAAATGATTGTTCTAATTCTTTACTAGTAGTATATGATGATGATGATGATGTTAATTTCAATTGTGTTATACTCTGATTATAAGTAGTTTTATCAGATAAGATAAATAAGCACTTTGAATGGTAGTTGGTAAAAGAAGATGATGATAGTGGGACGAAACGCACGTTCTGGTTTCTCCTGCTAGCCACTATCTATCTTTGCTTATAAAGCTTATGACTTCAGAGCAATATTGAGGCAGTCCGCATAAGATGCACATATGCTATCAAGAGACTGAATAACAATGAGAAGATACAAGTAAATAAAACCAAGTGAATTTAATAATAATTAAACATTCAAAATAAAATTCATTTTTGTTTTGGTTAGTTGAATCTCTCCACTGATGTTTAAGAATGCAAGTGATCAGTCCATATTGGCATATGAGTATCCTATACTGGTTGCGTTGATATTGCCAGCATTCCATATACATTATAAGCAGAGATGGATAGTGGTTAGCCGTGGAATTCATGAAGCGCATTTTGACATATTAAAGACTCATCAGCTGGATGTATCTGCATCTCAGGGTTCAGGTTCTCTCCCGGACTCGAACCCAATATCGTTCACTTCAATTTCAATATTATTTATAACTATTATAACTCTCAAACCTTGATTATTGAGAAATTAGAATCAAGGACTGTGTATACATTGAAGGGATCCATATATTTTGGCAAAGCTATACTTATGTTTTTGGAACAAAATACAGTGCATATAGTGTTTGAAGCATTCTTTTGTTTAAGTTTTCTATAGATCAATTAGGTTTATTAAGGATCAATCTTAGTGATATCTCATTTATGTGAAGTACTGTGAACTCACATCAACTATCACTTATGTACTGACTTATTTCCTGTTTCACTGAGTTTAAATAACCAGTGGTAGTCGGCACGAAACCCTGTCTCAACTTTTTTTAATACTAAGCGAGACTAATCAGTAAGGAGTACTTACAGCCTTGTCCTCAGTGGGATTGGAACGTAAGCAACGTAGCTTCACGGTGTGAAATGTTACAACTGAACTATTCAGGTAGCGACTAACAACTGACTGATCGCAGAGTAGTGACTAATGTCATGTAAATGTAAATATATTAGTCTTATAGTCTTACAAGCAAATCAGTGGTAAAGTTTTAGATAATGTAGCTAGGTAACGGGTATTCAAACTCAAGAAGTAGCATTATTCCTCTTAAGATTGTAGGTCAACGTTGCTGATAAGTCTCAATTAGCATAAAAAATAAGTTAAACAGGGCTTTAAGGTCGACCTTCTTCAACAACCTAACATCTCAATATGGCACACTCTATGTCATGTCACCCTTCAACTTGATCGATAGCATTCGATCTGCACTTACAAGGACTTGATACACATGACATTGATCACCACCCAGTTTTCAATCTTCATTATTCTATATATCTAAATATGTTGGTAGATTAAACATTGAATACATTGTAAGAAGATTAATCTCTGTGATAGATTGAACATTTGACGTATACACATATATATGTATATCTCTATATTATTCCATTCTCATGGTTAGATATTTATGTTTATTCTCATCAATAGTGTTCTAAAGATTTTATGATAAATAAAGAAGAAATGTTAAATTCATGGTGGGGGGCGAGGGGCAAATACTTCACATTATATAATGAATGTGTCAATGAAACCATTGAATGGCGTTTACAAGAAGTTCAAAGTCATGTTAAACTAAACTTTCCGCTTTGTATTACGTAATCTTAACAATATATGATAGAACAATGACGTTAATCAAGTTGTCTAATTTTACTAAAAAAGGGTAAATTTGATATGGAATAGATGAATTATGGATAGTAGTGAAATCCTAGACTCATGTTTTGTTATAATTTGGGACTTGTCAATTGGATGCTCCTACATCTTAGAGTTGATGTTCACTTCGGGACTCGAACCTAACACCGTTCACTTCAAGTACCATCACATTATCCACTTAGTTACTGATTTCAGATAACAACTAGCTTGAGCTATGAGGTGAAGTTTTATTTAAACCATTTCTCTATTGTTTGTTTAAATCTTCCCATTAACATTTAGGATTGCAATCGATTAATCTCTTATTGGCAAATGACAATTTGCATATTATACTCTTGGTGATAATCAATTTACTTCGCAACCCACTTAGTTGTTTAGTCGATTAATTCTAGATACGATACTCTATGTATTTGTATTCTAATGAGTCGTTTCTAACGTTTCTATCACATGTGATATTCAGTGATTGGATCTAATTCATTTGATTAAATTTTCAATATGTTCCTACACTTCTTAATATACTATGTTGATATATGGTGTATTTTCCACCTCAATATGAAGCGAATTCGGTTCTATGCAATTGGTAACTTTGATATTCAAGTCAAAATATTCTTTACTATAAGCAGGTGATATTGAACTCCAACAAAGTGAAATGTCATCCAGCTAGTCAATAAGTCAGTTATAAACAAAGTAAATGAAAACAAAAGTTTATTGAAATAATAAAGAAGATTTGTAGCACAGATGGATGATTTTGATGAAGTTTTGTTCTCTGAGCTAGATGGTTTGTTCGTGGAGCTTTCGTCGTTGTTCTTAACAACATCATCAGCACATAATTCAGGTAGACTACAAGTTTATTGATCCAAAATTCTACACCACATCAGAAAAGCTAGAAAAAACTGTCAAGATGAATGACAAAACAGTTGTGATAATAATATAAATGATAGCAAACAAGGATTAGTAGTAGTAGTAGTAGTGGTGGTAGTAGTAGTAGTAGTAGTAGATCACATAGTTCTAGAAGAGAAGAGTGGATTCAAAAGAATGTAAGAAAAGAAAAAATAAATCAATGGATTTGCTTCATTAAGACCAATTATAAGCCATATCAACTCCGCCTGTAGCTCCTCCAGGGTCTACTGCCGGTCCCAAGCCCGGGTAAAGGAGGAGGATTGGGCATGGGGTTAGCGACCCCATCCCGTAGAAAATCAACTCGCTAAAAAACTCTGACCAGAAAAAATCATTCAAACCATTCAAACTCTGCCCTCGGAGTTGAAGGAATAATTATGACGTCTCATGATGAAAGCCGAGTTCCTTCGGAAGTCATGAGGCTGATGCACCTTCTTACAACCAGAGCGACAATTTTTATAGGTACATGGAATGTCCGGACAATGTGGAAGATCGGAAGAGTCTTCCAAATTGCTGCAGAAATGAGAAAATACAACCTGGAGGTTCTTGGAATCAGCGAAACACATTGGACGCAGGTCGGACAACAACGACTGCCTTCAGGAGAACTTCTGTTATACTCCGGTCATGAAGAAGAAAATGCCACACATACACAAGGAGTTGCATTGATGCTGTCCAGAAAAGCACAAAATGCACTTATTGGATGGGAACCTCATGGACCAAGGATCATCAAAGCCTCCTGCAAAACAAAGGGAGAGGGCATTACAATGAACGTCATCCAATGCTATGCGCCTACCAATGACTACGATGAAGACGCTAAAGACCAATTCTACGATAGACTGCAGTCGATCATCGAGAAGTGCCCAACCAAGGACCTGACAATTCTGATGGGAGATCTCAATGCTAAGGTTGGAAAGGACAACACTGGATACGAAGACGTCATGGGACAACATGGACTGGGAGAAAGGAACGAAAATGGTGAGAGATTTGCAAACCTATATGCCTTCAATAAACCGGTCATAGGTGGCACCATATTCCCACACAAAAACATACACAAAGCCACTTGGATTTCACAGGATCACACTACACAAAATCAAATCGACCATATCTGCATCAACAACAAGTTCAGGAGGACGATGGAGGATGTGAGAACCAGAAGAGGAGCTGATATAGCATCCGATCACCATTTGCTGATCGCCGAGATGAAACTAAAACTCAAGAAGCACTGGACAACAGCGCGGACAACATCACAAAAGTTTAATACTGCCTTTCTTCGAGATGCTGACAAACTCAACAAATTCAACATAGCACTCAGCAACAGGTTCGAGGCCTTTCATGACCTACTCAATGGAGAGGGAACCACCATGGAGAGCAATTGGAAAGGTATCAAGAAGGCAATCGTTCCAACATGTCAGGAGGTTCTGGGCCAAAAGAAGCACCATCACAAGGAATGGATCACTTTTGGTACACAATCAATATCAGCCGAACAAGAGCAGAAAAAGCCAAGGCACAAGCCGAATACACAGAGGCAAACAAGCAAGTGAAGAGGAGCATCAGAACCGACAAACGTAAATATGTGGAAGATTTAGCAATGACAGCGGAAAAGGCTGCAAGAGAGGGAAACATGAGACAACTGTATGATACAAGAAAGAAACTTGTTGGAAATTACCGTAAGCCAGAAAGACCAGTGAAAAGCAAGGAAGGCAAAATAATCAACGATATTGCAGAACAAGGAAACAGGTGGGTAGAACACTTCAAGGAACTCTTGAATCGACCAGCTCCACTGAACCCACCCAACATCGAAGCAGCACCCACAGACCACCCAATCGATATTGGCCCACCAATAATTGAAGAGATCAGCATGGCCATTGAACAAATCAAGAGTGGCAAAGCAGCGGGACCAGACAACATCCATGCAGAGGCACTGAAAGCAAATGTAACAGCAACTGCCAAGATACTCCACATCCTCTTCAGTAAGATTTGGGGCGAAGAACAAGTACCAACAGACTGGAAAGAAGGACTTCTCATCAAGATACCAAAGAAAGGCGATCTGAGCAAGTGCGACAACTACAGGGGCATCACTCTCCTCTCAATACCAGGAAAAGGCTTCAACAGAGTATTGTTAAACAGGATGAAGGATTCCGTAGACGCTCAACTTCGAGATCAACAAGCTGGATTTCGTAAGGATAGATCGTGCACAGATCAAATCGCAACTCTACGTATCATTGTGGAACAATCAATCGAATGGAATTCATCACTGTAAATCAACTTCATCGACTACGAGAAGGCATTTGATAGCGTGGACAGGACGACACTGTGGAAGCTTCTTCGACACTACGGCGTGCCTGAGAAGATAGTCAACATCATACGGAACTCCTATGATGGACTAAACTGCCAAATCGTCCACGGAGGACAACTCACCGACTCGTTCGAGGTAAAGACCGGTGTTAGGCAAGGTTGCCTACTCTCACCCTTTCTTTTTCTCTTGGTGATCGACTGGATTATGAAGACGTCAACATCTGGAGGAATGCACGGGATACAGTGGACAGGCAAGATGCAGCTTGACGATTTAGACTTCGCGGATGATCTGGCTCTTCTATCACAAACTCAACAACAAATGCAGGAGAAAACGACCAGTGTAGCAGCAGCCTCAGCAGCAGTAGGTCTCAATATAAACAAAGGGAAAAGCAAGACTCTCCGATACAATACAATATGTACCAATCCAATTACACTTGACGGAGAAGCTTTGAAGGATGTGGAAATCTTTACATATCTGGGCAGCATCATTGATGAACACGTGGATCAGATGCAGATGTGAGGGCGAGGATCGGCAAAGCAAGAGCAGCATACCTACAACTGAAAAACATCTGGAGCTCAAAACAATTGTCAACCAACACCAAGGTTAAAATTTTCATTACAAATGTCAAGACAGTTCTTCTGTATGGGGCAGAGACGTGGAGAACTACGAAAGCCATTATCCAGAAGATACAAGTGTTTATTAACAGTTGTCTACGTAAACTGCTTCGGATCCATTGGTCAGACACTATCATCAACAACCTACTGCGGGAGAGAACAAACCAGATTTCAATGGATGAAGAAATCAGGGAGAAGAACTGGAAGTGGATAGGACACACATTGAGGAAATCACCCAACTGTTTTACAGGGCAATCCCTCACTTGGAATCCTCAACGCCAACAGAGAGGAGGAAGACAAAAGGACACATTACACCGAAAAATGAAGACAGACATGAGAAGAATGAACAACAATCGGATAGAACTAGAAAGGAATGCCCAGGATAGAATGGGTTAGAGAATGCTAGTCGGCGATCTATGCTCCATCGGGAGTAACAGCCGTAAGTAAGTAAGTAATTCATATAGATATATACTATAATTTCATCATTACTTACTAATTCACATTGACTATTCCCATCGTCATTATCATTATCCTTATCATTGAAATCATTCAATAAGTGATTTGACATAGTTTTTGGTGTATCATTTGTTAATGAGGTTGTGTAATGATTACAAGGTAATAATGGATCATTATTATTATTACATAATAATATTACATTATCATTATATTGATTTTTATTTAAACAATATAATTGTCCATCTAATATAGCTAAACGTCTTGCTAATTGACATAATAATTGTATTACAGCAATTGTATTATTATGTAATCGATCAAATCGATTAACAATAGTACCATAATTTATATCCATTGAATTAAATGAATTCCAACTATTCACTAAATGATCATCATGATGCGGATGATGATGATGATAATCAATATTTAATTCACTTAATCTACATCGTAACTATGGGGAAAAAAGAAAAAAAAGAGTTAAGATTATATTAAACAATTGGAATCATTCTATGAATGTTCAGTATAGAGTATAGGGGGGGGAGAGGACAATCAAATGTACTTTGGGCATCAAAATGACAAACTATCCCACTAAAATCTGACAATCATACAGTAAACGGTTAATATATGCAAAATAACAATCAATGGTCTTAAGCTTGACCATTCCTTCTGCAAATATCAGTCCATAGTCTTCGATTATTATGGCTCATGCATTTTCATACCAACTGCTTTCTGTTCCTCTTTTCTCCTTATCGATCTATTACTCAAATACATTCAATGCTTGACTATTGTTATATACTACTTGTTTGGATATATGTAACCCACACCACAATAATAGCTCTATACACTAATACATTATACATTAGACCGCTGAACTACAATAGCTATTAACTTGTCTAATGAATATGATACTATGATACTATTCAAGATCTACATTTGTAGGTACATGCAATATTGAGAAATCCGTTCAATAATCCCCCCTATCAGCAAAAATGTATTGGAAACTTTCATAAACATTAGAAACGAAGAAAAACCATAAAACTCTTTACAAAATATAACAGGACTTGATTGTATGTTGGATAAGTCGTGGGAGTGGAATGTAAGAATTATGTTTCATAAAGCTGATATATATCTCATTTCACGTATTTCTTAACACATGACAGATATCACTCATTCTAAGAAGGAAATATGTGACTGACTTATTGAAGGATTCAAAGCAAGTGACTTTCTAGGATTTAGGATTACGAACAAACTCACATTCTTAATTCTCCCATACTAATTACTATCGAGAAATTTAAAAGTTAACGGATACGAAGACCACCAAGGCACTGGCTTTGGTAGCTCATTTATCAACAACAGTTTATGAACATGTTTCCACGACACCATCACTAAGGGTCGAACCTTGGGCCTTCAATCTTCCTAAGGAAAGCTTAACCTCTTCACAAATGTTAATCATTAAAGTATGTTACAAATCTCCATAAACCCTATATTGTATTTTAATAACTCACCAACCTTTCCGTTGAATTACCACGATTATTTCCATGTATTAATCTATTAAGATTACAATTAGTGAATCTGTTCACAAACTAATACTAATATCTCATCAATGTACACCAACGATAAAACTGTGGTGTATGCTACTTATGTCGACAGACATAAGTAGTATGTAACACAGATCAGAATTGGAATACCTATTAAAAGAAGGTTGGGAAGTATGTATGGTTGTCATACTTTACCAATGAAGTCTGTAATTTTTTGTATTAATCAATAAATTGGTTGTGCTCACCTGAGAATTCGTTCACTACTAAATTATTGAAGGAATTTTGAAAGATATTGCTTCATTTAAAAAGATATCTGAATAGGAAACATGTAAAGCTTATTCTGATGAACTTATGCTATCTATGATGATTTGCGACCGTAACATGCAGTTATTACTTATTTACTTACTTACTTACGTCTGTTACTCACACTGGAGCATAGGCCGCTGACCAGCATTCTCCAACCCACTCAGTTATTACTTGTAAAGTAATTAAGTTAAGATATGTATAAAGTCATATATAAAGACTTATTTGGATAGTGTACTAGAATGGATTATCAAAGATCTTCATAGGAAATTATACCCAGACCTCAAAGAGATATTGCTACCATATTGATATTTTATGATGGCAGATCTTATGAATGTTAATTGATGGAATAATTTAGAATTTATGTTAAATTTTAATCAGAGTTTGTTTGAAATTCTCTATTAAAATACGTTTGTTTAACTAAGTAGTTATACTATATGGTTACGCACCCCCAAATGCCCTAGCACGGTCGACAGTGGAGAGATCCAGTTCATATTCATAGTAACAGTTTATCTAAGTACTGTTAACAATGGACTACGTTCAAGTTTTCAGAAATCTTTTTATTTTAAGAGACAGACATTCATGGATATGCAAATTCTATTCAGTAGAACGGTTTTCTCTAAAGGTATTTCAAATAAATAACTTTATGTTGTTTGGTGATTATGTTCAAGATAGTTTTCTGAACAATGTAACAGAAAAAGAATTCACTGATGAGGTACATCGTGTTCGACTGTAAACTATCATTAACATTGATTGAGAATCGCATCGTTTTGCAAATGGAATGAGTGAAGTAGATCTGCATTCATACCATGTTGTCAGTCATTCTTTCATAGTTATCGTCCTATCATTATAAAAACGACAAGTATCACACCTTGGTTAGTTAGTTAACGATAAAAGGGTGATTAAAAGGACGGAAAATGCAAATCAAAATTTCGATAAGAAACTACTTACAAGTTTTTCTTCAATGGCATTTCTTGCAACATGTTGATTTGCCGTAGCTAGGCTATGACGTTTATTTGCTATTCGTAGAGCTAAATATCTTGCTAATCGTCTTAATATTGTAATTACACTTGGTTTGTTTACTTCAGTAGTATTACTAAGGTCATTAGTAGTACATTTCATATCATTCAAACTTAAAGAATTGCCAATCATTGATGTCGATGTTTCATCTAATGTATCCGGATCTATTCCAGATTCCCGACCGTCTTCTTTAGGTGATTCTTTTGCAAAGTTGGTTGATGGTTTCTTTGATTCATTGAGATTTCTAGAAAACAAAATAGAGAAGTTGTAAAGAGTATTTAGAATAGTTTCCTATAGGATTCTAATGTGTATGTTCTAAAGGAAGATATTATATTGACATCGGCGTCTGACGTCAATTAGACTGTTTAAAACTCGAAAGCGTCAGATATCTGTTTCCTCATGGTATGGAGGCCCCTCACAAGCTTTACCGATCTATAACCGCACAAAAGATCGTAATCGCGATGTTTATGCTTCGGAAATACCGCTCATTCTCTCTAGTCGATGTTTTGTTAACTACCAACCCATCAGTGTCAATGAGATGAAGATAAGTAGAATGATCAACTCAGTATTTTAATTTCTCTGATTGCTCTAGGTGAAAATGCAGAGAGAAAGGAAATGCACCCTAAATATTCTTGTATTATTGATAGAGACATTCTGAAGACTCTGTATTTTCTCACACTTTACTTAACAGGATTATATCATCTAGATATTTCGTGTTAACAAGTTAAGTTCTTGGTAAGGAACCAATTTCTAGAAAGTCGAAAGGAGAAAATGTTATCTCTAAAGTGCTGTCTTTGGTGGAGATGAATAATAATGTGGATAATAAGCAACTATAAAGAACACCAACCCAAGTTACTAATTTCGATGATCATGTAGTGAACAACAACATAAGTGGGGACAGTTGAATGTACTTAAGTACACCTTACAGATTATCTCACTAAATTCTGATAACCATACAGTAAACAGTTAATTTGCAAAATAAGAATCAATTGTCTCAATCTTAACTGTTCTTTCTGCAAATATTAGTCCGTCTTCGCTGATTTCATTGTTCATGCAGTTTCATACCGATTGCGCTTCATTCCTGTTTATTCCTTATCGAAAGTCTGCTAAAATACATTCTATCCATGATCATCACCATATACTACTTATATGGATATAAGTAGACTACACTACAATCACTTCCTATAAACTGTGATCCAAACAATAGTTTTTGAGTAAAGAATCTTCTCAAAGTTTATGTACATTTTCGATACACTCTTTAATGATAAACAGTTGCAAAGAATATCACAGTCAAGTAATACTACTATTTTCGAAATTTAGTAATACTGCCTATATTCATTTGTACACTTTAGATGTACTTTTATAATGAAGATTATGCTTGATGGTATTCACAAAATAAAGAAGGTAAGTATTAATTTAAAGTACACAATATAAATGATGGAAATATGAAATGATGATTTCAATCATTCAAGACATGAATATTGTTGACATGAAAGTATCATAGATTTAGAACGGAAAAGAAAACAAAGTCATTTACGGGGGGAGGGGGAAATTATCATTATGTAATGTATCAGTTAAAAACATGAAAGACAACAACATTTTCATATTGTAATTTCATAAATCGATTGAACATTTTTTTAGTTTTAATTAAGATCATGAACCGGTCGATGTTAGACCACCTTTGAAGAACTTGAAATCACCGAGTGGTAATTTCGTCCTAGCATGGGACTCTTCAACAGTGCGTACATGCAAACTTAGAACCTGTTGAGGAAGTTTATACTAGAACAAAAAAGTCGTGTGATACTTCCAACATTTTGAAAGGTCCCTCTGAGTTGGACATTTGTGAACAATGACGTTACGTCAAAGTACATCATCTTTTGACCTTTCGTGTTTATGTTTTTAATCTTCTCAACAAATTAGGATACATCATTAATATTGTGCTTTACTAGATGTTTGTATAGTGGTTGTTATTATTATACGATTTATCATTCTTGAGTTATCCCTAGTTCATAATTTATTGTGCCCCCACATTCAAAGACACATTTGGCTAAATCTTGTATCAATGTTATTATCTATTTTATTCGTACAATGTGTTCAGTTTGTTTGGTATATAAACCCAATATGCTTGAGATATAATGATTCATATTACAATGGCTGTTATTAGTATACTAAACTTAACTAATTGGTTTAGGCAGAAAGCAGGAATGATAAGTACTGAAAACTGTTTATACAGTTTCTTTTTTTGTGTGTATCATTGGATCCGATCGATAAAATCACTTCTCTCTAATTGGCGGGGATCATCACTTCATATATATATATAATAAATAAGGTATTCAAACAATCGATAATAATACATTTTTCTGGTACCATTTTCCATGGATTATGTATTTTGAATTCACTCATAATGGTTTTACTAATTATTGTTCATGTTTTGATATAGTCTACTTATATCCACATAAGTAGTATATGATGGTAGTAAGACATAGAATGTATTTTGGCAAAAGATTGATTAGGAAAGAATATAGAATGCAACGTAATCGATACGAAAATGTATGAACAATGAAATTAGAATAAAATGGACTGATATTTACAGAAGGAACAGTTAAGATTAAGATAAATGGATTGGTATTTTGTTCTTTGATTGTTAAAATACTCTCCAAACATTGTTATTCTATGATGAAATTAGTATTGTCGTAATCCATGTGAATGATCGTAGTCTCAGTAATAACCAGCCACTAAAGCGCAATTATGAAAACCATTGCGCACACGTGAAAAGAACATTTTCCAATGGAAACATTTATCACATTCAATCGATTTCCTCTAATTCCCTAAATGATCCAATGGTCATGTAATAATTAGAAGTTGTTGAATTATTATTCTAACTAGGAATTGTCAAAATAACGCAATCTAGACCAACAGGCAATGAGGTGAACACAGACAAGCATATTCTTATTGCCATTCCGAATCACACAGTCACCAAATACAGGTAGTGAATGATTATTAGTTCATGCAAACAACACAAACCCATAAGTCATATGCATTCATGAATAGGATTTCAAATATTGAGAATTCTCTTCCATTTAACCCAATTCATTATTACATAACATCAACTTCTATCATTTCTGCTACATCCTATAAAATACTCAAGGTAGAATTGATTATTTTTTATTCTTAGTGTAAGTTATCGCAGCGCTTAATTACACAAACATATTTCTGTTGACCTCAATTGTTTACAGAAATATCAATGATTGTACTTTGTTGTCGTCTATCACCTCATTCTATCTCGTTATTCAAATAATATGGTATTCTATTGTATCTATACTCTATAGTGAGGGTATTATGAATCTTGTTTCGAATAAAACATACCGCATTTTTATAATAAGTTGAATCTTGACTTTTCCGTTGTCTGACCACGCCATTAGGAAACACTCACTTCCAATCGACCGCTCACCATCCACAAGCGAACGGGTTGATGGAACGCTTTCATCGACAACTAAAAGCTTTCCTATCAGCTGCGCACTTCCACTCGTCTTACGAGGTATTCGCAATGCAGTCAAAGCTAACATTCGATAAACTGCACTGCTTACACTCGACCGAAATCAACTGATGTTTTCGTTCAACCTGTTTTATGACATGGTACCCATGTTTTCGTTCGACGATCCTTCGAATCAGCATACGAAGGACCCTTCGAAGTTCTTCAGCGTGAACACAAGTACTATTTCGTTCGAAAAGAACGGCACTAACGATAGCACCAGTATTGATCGCCTCAAAGCAGCGTACTTAGAAGGAAGTCCTATCTACGTCGATTTTCCTCCAGTACTATCAAACGACACGGCTCCTACAGCCGACACGCACGTTGATACTTCATCAACGTCTGAAAATAATTTTAGGACAACGGGTTTTGGAAGAAGAGTAAGATTTACAGAACATTTAAACGATTATTGGATCAATCACTCCTAGATATATTGATAACCCATCAAATATAACTTCCAACCTCTTCACTTGTGACTTCTGATTTCACCTGGGTGGGCACGATTCGATTATAAAAGGTGTTACTGGTAAAGAGTTGTCAAACTACAATACTGAAGGTATCCTCGAATTCATTTGACCATTTGCTTAGTAATATATCAAAATCTTGATCTATGGCTAATAGTGAAATTGACGGATTGTCGTAAATACACTTTTCATGTAGATGAGCAAATGCATATCCTTTTATTTAGACCTCAGATAATAGTTACATCAAAGCTCATCGTCAGTGAGGATTCCGATCATGTATAGAATTTTCCTCAAGTGTGTTTTGGGTTGCGTGCAAAATTAACTGTCGTGAGCAAAACAAATGTCTGTTGAGTGATTGTCACGTTATATTGTAAATAGACAGTCATATGAGTCGGTACATTCTAACTCGTTTTCCGTACGAAATACAAATCGTGAGTTAAAAAATATATGTGGTCTTAGGAGCATTCTAACTAAGCGTGGGAAACTAGACAGTAACATCTGTTCAGTCTTTAATGTGTTGATCATTTCTAGTGTCTGTTCTAGACAATAATTACAATTTTACCTTGTTTTTATAATGTTATTATATTGGTCATATACCTCTAATCAGACCGAATACAAACCCATAACCCGGAAGAGTTGTCATCAATGCAGATAGATACTGTTATGATTAGGAATGTCCGAATCCCAGAATTTGATCGTGGTGACCCTGATTTATGGTTCGCTCAATTAGAGAATCATTTCAGATTAACTTAACTAGATGTAACTCTAATGGAACAGATTATTCAGAGAATATGACTTCATCATCATGTGTCCTTACTAAACCGAAGTTTATTAGATACACTAAACCTGAAGTCTAAATTATAAAACTCCACACCTATAGCATAATTGACTTTAAATCCATCAACTTCCATGGCTGACTAAGAACATTCAGCTTTACCAGCACTTTGACACTTAGTTTTATTCGCCGAATAATTCCCATCATATTAAAACACAATTATATGAATGAAGAATATACTTTTCAATAATTTCTCATAGAGGGTTCCACAATTATAAATCCAAATTAATAATCCATAAAAAGAAAATTGGCCAAGTTTAAGGCAGAGTACATCATTTAGAAAACGGTAACATGTGAATCAAGGAGTATTTGTTGTAAGATCCATTTTGAAGGTGAAAATCCCTCCATGTGTACATTTGCGATTTCTTCTTAATGGTTTCTTTATTTGCATATATTTTTAATCTTTGTAAGACTGTAATGTTTAATTTCATAATAGTTTTCTCAATTTTTCTATCGCTTTCATTGAGTTTCAATGTGCTTATTGAACTGCATCTAATTTATTTTGATTGATATTATTCTGGCGGCTGCTAAATTGGCTGTTCGCTCTTTGATTGTGCTGTTTGATTTTGACTGTGATCTTGCAATTTGATTGTAAATTGGAGGACTTTCCCAGAATTTTAAACACTGTGTTATAAAACAGCCTCTCAAACGGAATCTTACTTGATCTATCCAGAAAGGAAAGAATAACATTCACCTTTTGGTGTGTTCGGTAAATTTCTTATATTTCTTACCACTTTGTAATTTACATTGCATATTTTGGTACCCATTGTTTGTTGAATAACTGGGTGGTAATATTTGTTGAGGTAAATTTGTACATTTGTATTTATGATGAAATTTAGAACCGTTGTTACCCAATCACTTTGTTCTGATTTCGATTGCGGTGCGCGTGTCTTACTTTTACTCTACAGTTATTCAGTCATCCAAACGTAGTTTGAACTACAGTATGGATTTTACATTTGTGATAGAAAATTAAACTGAATCGTTAATGTTGGAGCTGACTAATATGTAGTGTTAACTTGAATCAGTTTATAAGTGAAATAAAATCGTAAGATAAATGATCAGAATAAATATAGTTGACATTGGGTAAGAGAAAGAATAATGGGATTACAAATCAGAAATTACATAATATGTAGAATAATATGAATTAAGTCAGATAAAGTAAATAGAGCTTGATGCTGATTAAATTTACAGATCGATAACATCATCATGATCGGCAACAACAACCACTGCACCAAGGGTACACCTACGACCAATGAATAAGGTCTCGAAATTCTAACTGCATCTATTAAGTGTACACAGTAGCAATAATTTTTTGTTACAAATAACTGTCATTGTTTCAAATAAAATGCATTCATTCAAATCAATCTAGTTTCAAAAACAAATTGTTTGCTACTGAGTAACTAAGTGTATGATACGGTGGAGTCTTGAGCGAATGGCACTGGGTTCGAGTCCTGGAGTCAACATCAACTCTGAAGTGCAGAGACAATCAAATGATAAGACGAAACGCATGTTCTGAATTCCACTGCTAGCTACCATTCATCTCTGCTTATAATGTGGTGGCAATATCAAGTCAATACAAATAGCATGAACATATACCAATATGAAATTGATCAACTGCGGTCCTAAACATCAGTGATAAGAATAGAACACACAATATAAAAATAAAGTACATTTGTCTAAACACATGGAAAATGAACAAACAAAACCCAACTGAAATATAATTCCTTTCATTTATTAAACGAATATAATTTAATGCATTTACTATACAAGAGAGCTATTTTCCTTTTTCTTTTGATTATCGTGAAAGTTTAATCAACTTCTTTAAATGATCTGTTAAAGAATTAGAGTCCAATAATCGACTGGATCGGGTTTTAGTAAATCAGTAACTTTAAACAAATGTGTATACTGATTACCGACACTGGTCCTCATATAGTCTGCTTATTTTAAAATGAATGAGGGAATATGTTATGTATTGTAGGTCATTTGACAATCTGTTTGCTGTAACTGATATTTCTCAGTTTCACTTGACAATCATTTTAAGAACTGATTCACTGGGCAAATCAACCATCTATTGAAAGAAACACAGATATTAGGGGACTATGTCCTCTTGTAAATTTATTAAAAAGTATTTCATTCAAGAATACTTCAACTCGTAAATATCTCCGTGGCAGGACTATAATTTATGGACGAGCCGGTCAGAAACGTTTGAGTGATCACAAAGTCACGGCGCCTATTTCCGTATCCAATGCTCACGTACGATTGATTTACAGATATATAGTATAATAAAGATTGATCACTGGATGGTGATCAATGCCATGAGTATTAAGTTCTTCTTAGTGCACATCAAATGCTATCGATCAAGTTGAAATGTGACTGTAAAGCTGATGGATGCGTGATCGAATCCGTCAGTGTTTGGATTAGCTAACCCCTTTTTTAAGCTATTCGCCATGAAATAAGATTCATTCATATCATAAACCGATCAAATTTTAGACTACTAGTCGAAACTTGGAAGCAGTGGGAAGATGTCTCGTCCTGCAACAAGATTTCGAACCAGTGAGCATTTACGACCTTGCATTCAAACATCAAACCCAATCACTTCCATCTCGAACGTGACATACTTGCTGTCTAAATCACTAATTCGATAGTAGTCTAACATTGATCAGTTCATCATTTGAATCAAATACAACAATCTACGCAACGCTATATTCATAGTGAAATAATACACTTCTTTGAATCATCTTGGAACAAAATGAAACTCCAAAACTGACTTTAGAGTTTAAAGAAGATATAAATCAAACTATAATTTATTTTAATTTGTTCAGAAAATCTTTCACTTTCATACTGTTGTTGAATGTTCAAAAGGTATGAAAGAAGATGTGGAATGTGTTCTTCCAGTCAACTAGTAGTAGAGTTGTACATTGAATCCAATTATGAATATGTATATATCTCTATATGTATGTTTATACATACTTTCAATTTACCTCACTTAAATAATTTGCATATACCATTACTTTTGATAAGTAATACGATTATGGTATTCATTCAGTAAGTTAACATCCTATTTCAGATGATACAGTGAACATTGTTAGTATGATTTATTGCAGTAGTACGTTTCATCGATTTCAATCTACTTAATGTAACGACATTGTTTCAATAATCGTAAAATACATTTAGGTATTGAATAACTTTTTCCCTTCTGTTTAAAACTTAACATTATGATGTGGCTTCAAACATGGAAGTTTTTAATTCTTGTACATGAAGTATCATTAATTGGTGGCCTATATAATGTTTATCTAGTCCTTCATTACTGATCAAATTCTATCGATCAAGTTGAAGGGTAACATAACACTGAGTGTGCCATATTGAGATGTTAGGTTGTCGAAGAAAGTCGACGTTAAACCCTGCTTAAATTACTTTTTATTCTAATTGACACTCATAAGTAAGTTTAACCTACAATCTTAAGAGAACTAATGCTAGCTCTTGGATTCGAATACACGTTACCTAGTATTGCAAGACAACATCTGAGATATGACTAAGAGATTGATACTTAATAAATAAACACAACAATTTTTAAGTTGTAGGGTGACATGAAATAGATCTGTCATTTCACATATTTATATGGATCCCCTCAATGCATACACAGTTCTTGATTCTAATTTCTCAACATTCAAAGTTTGAGGGTTATAATATTTATAAATCATATTGAAATCGAAGTGAACGATATTGGATTCCAGTCCCGGAGTGAACCTGAACTCTGGGATGCAGATACATCCAACTGATGAGTCCACTGCTGGCCACTATCCATCTCTGCTAATAATACATATGGAATGCTGGCAATATCGAGGCAACTACCATTCAAATTGCTTATTTATCTTTATGACTTTTTACTTTCTTTCTTTTTATTTTCTAGACACAAATCATTGAACAACAAAAACGTTTAATTATCCAAATTAAAGAAGCTCAATTATTACGAGCTGAATTAGAAACATGTCGACATCGTTTATTGGAAAGTATACCAGGACATATAAAATGTGATATAACTCATAATATAATTGGTAAATTATGAAGAGATTTTATGAATGATAATCAATTGGCAACAACAACAACATGTAATAAGGTAACAAATACTACTGATAAAACTACTTATGAACAGAATATAACACAATTGAAATTAAAATCATCATCATATATTACTAATAAAGAATTAGAACAATCATCTAATTCGAAAAAACGTGTTTTCTGTGAAGGTTTAAAGAAAAGTCGTGTAAATGAGGGATAAGATATCTGTCTGGAATAGTATGATTATTCAAACGACGATAATCTCCTCATGGACGCCAATCTTGCTCTTTTTTCGGGATCATATGTAACGGAGAAGCCCAGAAGTTGCTACACTGCCTAATGATGCCTAGTTGCATCATGTGTTTGAACTCTCGTTCGGCGGTCGCTAACTTGTGAGGGGGCAGTCTTCTGGGTTTTGCACGTATTGGTTGGCCTGTGGTAGTGATGTGGTGTTGAGCGTGATGAACGGTGCATTCGTTTTGATAGTCGACTCTTGTAATGCACTCGTATTTCGATAAAATTTCACTAAAAATTTTATTTTCAGGTTTTAAGATACGGACATTATGGATTTCAAGGTCAGAGGACATTGTGCCAATGACTTGTAACTTCGTGTTTTTGTCAATGAGTTTCTTTTTACACATGTCAACTAATAAGTTGTGGGCGCTGAGGAAGTTGGCTCCGAGGATGGTGTAAGATCCAAACCTAGATTCCGCCCCCAAATGCCCTGGTACGGCCGAGAGTGGGGAGAGTCACCTCTCCCTCTCGAAATACTCTCATATTGCCAGCGAATATATAGCCTCTGCCAGGGAAGTCCTACTCACTGCCTTCTCGTGGCGGGGGTGTTGTTTACGAATGTGAGAGGACGAAAAGCGAATGTCCGGCGCTTTAACCGGGTTGGTGGACACGAATAGTCTACCTAGGTGAGTTGGAAAACCCTGATTCCAAACCAATGGTGCACATGGGCTCCAGTATCCTGAGGGAACAAATGGCGTACGAATCAATCGTTGATCACCGGCTACCATTTGACTGCATCTCCTCACGATGCTCCACTGCCTTGTGGATCAGATCTTTTAGTCAAAGGCTCCGAGTGTGGCTCCCTAAGAAAACCACCTGCTTCAGTTCGGGCACCCGGGCAGTATCACAGCTCACACACACAATGGTGTGGCGCATTTGTACCTGGTGTCCTTTTGTACCAATATATATGTGTTTAAATAAGTAAATAATAATAAATAAACCTAGATTCCATTAGGTCTGGATGTGGCCGAATAACCGAGGAACAGTTTTATACACTCGTGACCCAATCAAAAGCAGAACAAGGTATTTTGGGTAACACGGTTCTGAATTTCATCATATATACAAATGTATAAATTTACCTAGACGAATATTATCACCCGGTTATTCAACCAACAATTGATACAAAAATATTCAATCTAAATTACAACAAATAGCAAAGTGATAAGAATGTATGAAAATTACCGAAAACACCAAAAGATAAGCGTTATTCTATCCTTTCTGGACAGATCAAGTAAGATTTCGTTAGATCGGCTATTTTATAACACAGAGCGTTTCAATTTCTGGGGAAGTGCTCCAGATTACAACCAAAATGCACGATCCCAGTCAAAATCAACCGCACAATCAAATAACGAGCAGCCAATATGGCAGGTGCCAGAATAATAGCAATTAAAACAAACTAGATACAGCTCAGTAAGGAACACAGAGACTCAATAAAAAAAGATAGTGAAACCAAGAAAATTAAACGTTACAGTCCTAATTAGCATCAAAAATGTTAACGGCATATACAAATAAAGAAAACGTAAGGAAGAAATCACAAGTGTATGCATGGAGGAATTTTCACTTGCAAAATGGATCCAACAGATGGGTTGTCTGATTTGAGCTACTGAAAACACCCATGTGAATCTCCTACGGAGGCCGAGGTCCAATATAAGTGATTGCACACAGTAAGTTTTGATGATGGTGTTGTTTGCTGCGACCAGGGATAGTTTAGAGGACTCTGAGTGCCGTCGACGTGAGAAATGCAACGGGAGGATGCAGAATTCTGCACCTGTATCGACCAAAAATGCGAGCCAGAAATGCGATCCTGGATGTAGAAAAGAAGGCTTGTGGTGAGGCCAGAAACAGGCGTCGCCATCGCTGCCTGGCCGAGCCGTTTCCCTGATTCGACGAGTCAATCAAAGAAAATGAGCACGGTCGCGTGCAACGACGTGCATTAGTTCCGTATTTGTTATGATACAAACATATATCTGGGTTCTGCTTAGGTGAACACGAACGCCATCTAGATAAAGATCTTCGTTCAGAAGGGGGTCCAAGCTGTCTAGCTTGAACTGATGCTACTGTGGTCTGGAGCGACGCAAGTTGATTCGTTAAGTGTGCTGACTGTCTTTGCACAGAAACTAAATAACCTGTATTAGATGTTCCCGCTGGAAGAGTTTATGTAATGGCTATCATGATAAGTTTCTAACATTTTAACAGCCATATCTGCTAAATCAACAAGGTTAACTAAATTTCTGATTATACTGAGGATTTGCCTTACATTACGTGGAAGGCGTTGAAGCCACTTTTGTTTAAGTAACGCCTCATCTAGCTTATAAGGGCCTGCTAGATGTTCCATGTATCTTAACAGCTGTGATGGTTTCTTGTCTCCTAAGTCACAGGCGGTTAATAATTGTTGGAGTCTTCTTTCGTCGGATACAGAGGTATGTTGGATTACTGCAGCCATTAAGAGTAAAAAACAGTCGTAAGTGACCAGTATTTGGTGACAAATGCCTGAGAAATATTGCTCGCATCTGCCGGGATCGCCAGTTAAGTAATCGTGGTAAATCGGTTGATGAAGTTATAGTTGGGCTACGTGTTATGTATGCCTGAACACCGATCACCACGACCCTCAACGCTGACTAGTGTAGAGGTCGGATGGAAGAATTTTCGGGGCGGCCAAACCAAAACATGGCAACAGTCCATAAAGCCGCTGACTTCTGATCTGAACCATGTTGGCAGACGCAGTTTGATTGGTTTGGGTCCGCGAGACTATCGTAACCAATGGTTTGAGATTCTATGTGACATGTTTGAGAATTGATCACAATAGCGTAGGTATATACACTCTTTGTCTTCCCTTAAACCGTGAGAATAAAATGGCTTTACACCATTTTTCTATCCATCATTCCTTTCTTCTTGTACTTTATCCTCATACACAATCTTTCTTTTTTATATTTCTGCCTGTAAAGTCCATTTTAAAGGTTTCGTGTTTGAAAATCGCTCCATGTACACATTTGCAAATTCTACTTAATGGTTTCTTCATTTAAACATATTGTTAATCTTTTTGATGCCATTTGAGATTGTAATGTTTCATTTCTTAATAGTTTTCTCATCTTTTCTGTCGCTTTCATTTGGTTTCTATGTTTCTTTCTGAACTGTATCTATGTTGTTTTAATTGATATGTTATCTTGGCGGCAGTCATATTGATTGTTCCTTCTTTAATTTTATTGTTTGATTTGACTGGGATCGTGCAATTTGGTTGTAATTTGGAGCACTTTCCCAGAGTTGGAAACACTGTGTTACAGAACAGCTCCTCAAACGGAATCTTACTTGATCTATCCAGAATGGATAGAATGACACTTACATTTTGATCGATTATTGTGGCAACGATCATTGGTTGAATACCTGAGTGGTAATATTTGTTTAGAACTATAAAATCCGAATTACGTTTGTGTGAAGAATAACTGTCCGCGGATGTGAAGATACTCGTTGTTACCCAAATCACCTTGTTCTGATCACCAAGCGTAGAATGTAATAAGAGCGTCACAATAGTCTATAAACGTAGATGATGTTCGATTAATGATTCATTTAACACATTTAACACAAAATAGAACAAAGCAGGTGTGTGTTAGAATGTATTTAATGAGGAGCAGTTACAACACCGTGGTATGTGTATTTAAAAACGGAATGAAGTCAATTAACGTGTGTTCAAGGTCATAAACTTACACAACAAATACGACTGTTTAGTGTTAAATGTACAGAATATGAAAAAACATAAAATACATACAAAAACTATGAAAAAGTGTTTACAAAATATGTTTAATAGTCCTATATCCACAACCTTGAACACTTGGTAACTAGCTTCCTGCGCTTTTTGAATTCAACATAGCACGACATTGTAACCGCTCATCAATAAATAAACTCTAATAAACACATTCCTCGTTCTATGCTGCCTGTGGATGTGATAACTGAACTAGTAATTGACTATCAAATGTTGAGGGCGACAATCCTACTATTCTGAGACCATCTTCTATATATTTCGACCTGATGGGGAGTGACACATCTTTCACACCATCGACAACTGTCTATTGTTTTAAAAGCTCCTTGACGGAACATGATCACTCCCCAAATACACCGCTTATCCATTCAACTAATCCGCTTCTACCCAACACTTCTGAACATACTTCCTTCGCCAAACTAACCTCCGACCACCTTTCTCCCGTTAACTATGCTTATATTGAACTAAACAAACAAGAACGTAGAGCCAATACTTCCACTTTTCCTTCTTATAGCAAAGGAGACAAACCACAGGGTTTACAGCACACCATTTTACTAGACAAACACTCATCGTTCCTGACACTAATACAGAATAAGATGACCCAACTACGTGCCCTATTACTCTTACACAACCCTTACTTGTTTTGATAACGCAAAGTTGGTTGTCCTCCGATATCACAGACACATACCTCCAAATAGACACGTATGAGCTCTTCCACTGTGATAGAGTCACCAAGAAGGGTGGCGGTTGTCTCATATATGCATCAAAAAACATGAGGGCGGAAATCTTTAGTGACCATATCCTTAGTAAACTACCAGATTCGATATCGCTTACTGTACACACCCTTGAATGTAAAATACTAATCGGATGTATATATCGAGCTCCGAATACACCCAGTTTGGCTGACACCATTATAAGTGAGTCATTTGCTAAGGCTGCTTCGCTTGACGTCGACTAAAAATTTTCTGTGGTGATTTCAACCTTCCAACCATCAACTGGAAGACACATTCTGGCCCACAGTGCTACGAAGGAATACTTAGGTCCTTAGACATACACGGTTGACAGCAACATGTTAACCTGCCTACCCAAAATAACAACATCCTTGACTTGATATTCTGTCACAATGTCACACCATTATCAAGGGTAGTTGCCGAGAAGTTCCATAACAGCGG